TCCAGGGAAAGTTTTCTTTCCCAACCTTAACATTTCTATGTGTAATTCTAAAAAGTTAGGCCGTGTGAAATACATTTGCTTTATAAATGTTAGTATGCTCCACATATCCTCTTTTTATTTATTTATTTTTTAAAAAAAGAAAAAGCAAAAGCTATAGATTAAGGTTTCACAGTTAAGACAAAAACATTTTGTTAAAGCAAAGTTAGTATCATTTTAGCATGGCAAGTCTTTTTAATTTATCTCAGGTGGGGACTGATGATGTCATCATTCCTCAGAGCTGTTTCATCAGCAACTTTCCTGGTGGTATGAATTAGGGTGTTATTGCCAGTTGTTGAAACTCTGGAATGGGGTTCTGTTCCGTGTAATAGTTGATTTTGAGTCCAGAGAGTTTGTTGGTGTTCACCCATCCAGTAAATCACTGCTTCCAAAGCATCTAATCTTTGTAAAATTTTTTGATCAATTACAAATCTTTTTTTTAGGAACAGGATGTCTCATCCAAGTCATAAGCACCCCCTTTAAGGCTGTGAAACTTTAGAGAACTGCTTTCGTAGACAAGATATTAAAACTTTATTTAACAGTAGAAATCACATTTATTGTATTCATTTTTTAAAATACTAACCTGTATGCCCAAGCAGACTTCTCAAAACAATAAGCTAATAACCACCTGCCTGTTTGATATACTGAAGTTTTTCCTTGTACATTCTAGCTATCAAATTTGTGAATTTATGTATGAACGAGAACACCAATATGACAAAATTATTGATTGCTACTTACGTGACCCACTGAGAGAGGTGAGTCAAGAGACTGCTTTATTCTTTTTTCTTACTCAGTTCCCCCCCATCGAGTAGAAATAACTAGAGTCACACATTTTTTTTTCTTTTTTTGTCTTTTTTCGTGACTAGTAACGGGATCGCAACCCTCGGTGTCGTGCCCGTACCGCGATCAGCTACGGGATCGCAACCCTCAGTGTTGTGCCCGCACCGCGCTCAACCAGTGAGCGGACCGGTCTNCATGAAAAACAATTAACCTCTTTTGAGAAATGTTTATTAAGGTCTTTTGTCCATTTAAAAAAAAAAAATTTTTTTTTGTGACCAGTAAGGGGATCGTGACCCTTGGCTTGGTGTCGCCTACACCACGCTCAGCCAGTGAGTGCACCGGCCATCCCTATATAGGATCCAAACCCACGGCCTTGGCGCTCCCAGCGCCGCTGTGCTCCCAGCACCGTACTCTCCCGAGTGAGCCACAGGGTCGGCCCTCTTTTGTCCATTTTTTAATCAGATTAATTTTTTTTTTTGCTGTTGAGTTGTTTAAGTTCCTTATATGTTCTGGATATTAATCCTTTGTCAGATGTGTAGTTGCAAATATTTTTTCCCATTCTGTAGATTGTCTCTTCACTATGTTAATAATTTCCTTTGCTGTGTAAAAAAGCTTTTTAGTTTGATATCATCCTGTTGGTCTGTTGTTGCTTTTGTAGCCTGTGCTTTTGAAGTTTTATTTAAAAAAATTCTTGCCTGGCCCCATGTCATGAAGCATTTCCCCTATGTTTTCATCTAGTAGTATCATAGTTTTGGGTTTTACATTTAAGTCTTTAATCCATTTTGAGTTGATTTTTGTATATGGTGAGTGGTAGGGGTCTAGTCTCATTTGTATGCATGTGGATATCCAATTTTCCCACATTGCTGCTTTTTTAATTAAGAAAGGTTATGCAAATAACACAACAAAAACCTAAATATGAAAGTTTCTGACTTTTGATTAAATTCTAGAAGTTAGTAAAATTTGTAGAAATTGATGTGTAAATTTGAAGTGTTTGTACAATTATTTTAATATGAAAGTGAAAAAGCAGTCAATGATGTTTTATTATTTTTGATTTTTTAACTTAATATTTCCATGGTATTTCATAGGTTTTTAACATTTATCTTAGGTATATTAGAAACAATGCAGAATTTGATGGAGCAGTAAGATACAATATGCTAACACTGGTATTTATCTAGTTTGTCAAGGGTAGTTAGTGTGCTCATCACCTCATGCTTTTGTCACTTCTTTGTGGTGAGAACAAAGAATATTGACATATTTAATTCTGGACAGAGATACCTGGTATAAAATTTTTGCAAATTACTAATTGATATCTAGCATATTGACTGTTCCTTATTGACACTTTGTTACTTTAACATTTTTTTTNTTTTTTTTGTACTAAGCTTTGAAATTTCTTATAACATAGTATTCAGTAGCATCTTAAACCTATAGTTAGAGGAATGGCCTATACTCATCTCCCTTAAATACTTAATAAAACTTGGTCACCTCTCCCCCAGGGTGATGGGGACACAAAGGATTACTCAAAGCCCATTTCTTCTGAGCACTGAGAGGCCCTGAAGGGGTTAATTCCCAGGAACCCTCAAGAGAGAAGCATTCCTTGGGAAATAACCCCAAACTAGGGTTTTCTCTCAGTATTCATTCTCCAAGCAAGAAAGTTACAGAAAAGGACCATAGGTGGTTACAAAAAGAACAGTAAGATAATTGTCATAGCAATGATCGTTAGGTTTAGCTGCACCAACGACATCTGTCCTTAGAGCCAGCAATTTTGCTGTGTTACAATTCTTTATCTACAACAGAGAATTTAGTCCAGGGAAAGTTTTCTTTCCCAACCTTAACATTTCTATGTGTAATTCTAAAAAGTTAGGC